ACACTTATATATAATATGTAGAAAGATTGTCACTCAGTACTACGGTCTAATGATATTCCTCTTCATTTGGAAGTGATAGGTCTTAGGTTCAAATATCATGAATGGCGAATTCGATACCAAATTAGGCTGCCTATTGTGCGACTTAGCTGAACCCCCATCTCCTTAATGTAAAAATATCAATGTACTAAAAAAAAAAAAAAAGATGAAAATCTTTGGGGCCCTAAGAAATTCGGGACTCTATGTCATTGCATTTTTTGCACACTCCTAACGTCGTCTCTGCTGCTGCCTAGGAAGTGACGAAGATAGAAGATGAAGAGACACGAGAGAGATACAAGATGAAGAGTTTCTTTTTCCATTGGTTATCTTTTGCAAGTTTGTGAAAGAGTTTGTAAATCCCAGAAATTTAATAGAGTTCTAGTGGAGTTTCATAGACTCCATATGAATGCATTCAAAATATTAGGGAGAGAAGCCTGATTTTCTATAGCGGAAATATACACTATAAAATCCTTCTAAGCCCATCAAAATTTTTAGGGGGGGTGTGTTTAATTGAGATTTTGAGGGTTTTAAAAATTTATAAATCCATAGGGCTTGATGGAGTTTTAGTTGAGTTTCATACACTCCATGTGAATTCCTTCAATGCCTGATTTCCTAACTTCTAAATTACACTATAAAATTCTTCTGAATCCATTAAAATCCTTAATTTTTTAAAATACTTTAAAATCAATTTTTAAGGAATACACATAGTTTTTTGGACTACTTAAAATCTTAATTGAATACATCCAAACAAACTTCTACAGAAGCAATTCTTAACAAACTAAGTTTGTTAGGAGTTTTTGCCCTTACACCCCATTTCCCGTATTCGAATTCCCCTTTTGTAATTTAAACGAGTTTAGTGTAGATTATCCTATCACGTTGCCAAAAAAGACAAGTAATTTCAAACGGTTATTCAATTACAACTACTTTCTTTTTCAAATCCATACTAGAAAAAGATTTCTCTGAACCTCTTCTTGTTCATTTGTGCCCGAAATTTTTAGTGTTTTCTAGATTCCTCTATCTAAATTTCCAAAAATATTTTATGAATTAGCAACCGGCTCAATTGGAAGTGTCGCACCCAATTCTATGCTGCTGTTCGATGCAGTTTAAAAAATGCAGAAATAATCTCTGCCACGCACACTTGCAGTGCAGTGGGAAGTGTGTAGAACTCAAACTGCTGCTCTGTACTGTCTGCAGCATCATTCTTCCCTTGGTATTTTGGTGCTTTCTTTTCCTTTTAGTCACAGTAACAGTTCTTTGTTAATTTGTGTTTAAGCAGAATTTTGAAAACTCAGGATTTGCCAGGAACACTCCCACGAGAAATGGTCAGGCTCAAATATCTGCAAGAAATGTAAGAAATTGGAGTCATGCAAATGATCTGTTCTTTCACATCTAAGTTGCCTGTATGTCTGTTTCCAATGAGACAATGGCTAATTTCTTTCATTCTTCTTCAGCGACCTCACCCGGAACTACCTGAATGGTACCATCCCTCCAGAATGGAGCTCCCTTCAACTTGTCAACATGTACTTTCTTTCTCGCTCTGCATCTATGCATATGTTACATTCTCATTGTATTAGGACTTTTTTTTTTTTTTTTTTCAGTTTTCTTCAGCCATTTATTTCTTAAGCTATGAAGCTATTCCATGGGCGTTGTTCCTTCTTCATATTTGTGTCCCTTCAGTGGTCATGAGCCATTTGAATCATAAAAACTGAATCTCATTGAGACATATGAGTTGTGTTGCAGCTCCCTCATTGGAAATCGTTTGACAGGTCCTATCCCGGTAGAGTTTGGAAACATCATCACCCTGAAGAGTTTGTGAGTGATGAGTACACATTTTTTATGGATAACCTTATGGATCTTTCAAAATCAATGGATCAATGGAATTGATTTTGTTTTGTGCAGGGACCTCAGTTCCAATTCTCTCTCTGGCGTTCTCCCTGAGGAGCTTGGGAATTTCCCAAACTTGGAAAGAATGTAAGAACTTCTTATTCAAATTTTAATGTGATTAAAATATTTTGGTCTGTTTGGATTTGCTTTTCTGTAGACAGATGCTGTATTTTTCACCAGTAAATCATCCACTTCCTAATTTTTATATCTGTTTTATTGTTAGGATTCTTTCTTCAAACAACTTCACTGGGTTTTTGCCAAAAACATTTGCAAACCTTGCCACATTAAAGGACTTGTAAGCTTCTGTTGTTCTTTTGTTCTTGAAGATTTCCTAAGCACCCAACTTAAATTTTTTCTGAATTCTGCGACTAATTGGTACTATTTCCCTTTTGCAAATCGTTATGCAGTCGGATCGGTGACACTAACTTTTCTGGGCAGATACCTGATTTTATTGAGAAGTGGACAAATCTTGAAAAACTGTTGAGTGTTTACCTTTTGGGTGTCATCTTTTCTGCTACTTGATTCTCGATATCATCACTAATTCAAATGTTATGACGTTAAAACAGTTTGATTCAGGCAAGTGGTTTGATGGGGCCAATTCCTTCCGGCATCTCTCGTTTGACAAGCTTAACTGACTTGTTAGTATATCTCGTATCTGTTTATAAGTACAGAACAATTAGCAGTATAGTAGTTTCTGTTCATAGCTCAATTTTGACATGCAGGAGAATTACTGACTTGAATAATATACCTGAATTAAACTTCCCTCCGCTCGATAATATGACAAACATGAAGACACTGTGAGTTAAGGCTTCGATGAAACACAATTTTTGTCTGTACAAGAAATCTTTTTGCAACCTCAAAGTTTTGGTGTTTCTGTTACAGGATGTTGAGGAGTTGCAATATTATCGGAGAGCTACCTTCATATCTTGGGCAAATGACTAAATTGAAAGCTTTGTAAGTAGAAACGTCTTTGTCCCTATTTTTACCGTCTTCAGATAAAAAAAGTTCTTCCAGATGTTATTATACTGATTAAGAGATTATTAAAATGACTTAGACGATGTTGGAGGGACTTTATGTTTCTGTATTTATAAGACCATATCCAAACCTTGGGGAAAAAGCTTACAATTTAAGTCAAAAAATTTTAAGCCATAACTCAGCAATTCTACTCTCCTAAGATCCTAGTTTTGAGGACATGTAAGGACTAAATATATATTAGGCACAAGATTATATTAGTTTAGATCCAAGGCTTAAAATATTTGACAACTTAAAATAACGAATTTAGAAGAGCAAGACTTCATAACCTAGAAATTGTTTTTCTCATCCAATTTTAGCTCAAGATTATTAAATAATGACCTTAGCCTAATTTTGTATTTTCGGTAACTTTTTTGAAAATAAAATTTATATATATTGTCCTAATTTATTTTTATGAACATTTTAATCTAAAAATATTCAAATTCTGATATATAATCATACAAATACATAGCTATTTATAAAGTTTTAAGTGAAATTTAATTTAATTATTTTCTTAAATTATTTTAGACGTTAGATTTAATTTTGGGCCGTCAAATCTTTTTTTTTTTACCATTAGTTTGATGTCATTTGATCACAACCATTAGATTATAAGTAAAAAAATAAAAAAAATTTAAAATATAACAGTTTAGTGGGTCCATAATAGTTTAAGCCAAACTCAAATCCTAGGAGAAATCTAAAAACATATATTTTCTCTCCAGGACTTATTTTAGTCCAATAATTGGAGAGATGGTTTGGAGAGTTTTAAAGCTTACATTTTAAGTTTTATCCCATGGGTGGGTTGGAGATAGTTTAAAGAGAACAGCTTTTCAGATGGCATTGCCGTCTCGGAGAGCATATCTAAACTGCATCTGCAATTTGTTTGTGCAGAGACCTCAGCTATAATAAGCTGACCGGAGAAATTCCAAGCAGCTACGCCAGTCTAGCAAAGGTGGAATATATGTAAGCAATTTGAATGACCAATCTCGTCTTTATTACACGAAATTCACGCAGACATTCTTCATGGTTTGTACTTTTGTTACACCCCAGCCTGACAAGCTGGAAGTTTATTTAATAACAATTTGACTTAGACAAAATTCAGGCAGAGGGTTTTGCCACACTGCGGTCTGACGAGCTGGAAGTGTTACTAATCACGCTTACTATAATTAAGGACTCACAGGTTAAACTAGAACAAAACGTTAATAGTCGAGCAAATAACTGACACTAGATGGTCATAATGAAAACTAACAAAGTAAGAAAACTGATTAACCACTACCATTGAACTGACTTGCATATTCATCTTGCTTACCTAGAATCTAGTGAGTATAAGTTGTATAACTCACTAAGCCTGTAAATGTCAGAGACATGCTCAAACATACTAAACTTATAAATACACACACACACAAAATATAATTTACTTATCATCTGAGCACATTTAAGATTTGAGTGACTGTCGGGATAGTCTTGGTCTAATATCACAGATGTTAATCGATGAACTCTTAAAGTGTCCTCAGAGTAGAATGTGGCTCTATTATGGTTTTAGTTAGACCAAGTCGGATTTTGATTCAAATATGGTCATGAAAAGTACTGAAAACAACACCAAAATTGACATGAGATGATATTGGTATAGGTAACAGATAAGTCTCTACCAATCCTCCTTTCAAGTACATACACTGAAACACATTTCCAACATGAAAGTTTTTCATGTTCTGCAAATTGAATTTTTCTATATCTTTAAATCCAGTTAACAGTCACTTTAGAATATACTAGAAAATGTGTCTGCGCTCTGCTGTGGGCGTTGAATGTATTAGTTGCAACAGGTATGAATAGTTTCCACACAAAGCAACTAAAGGAACGTTGTACCTAAGAACCAATGAAGTCAAACTTTGCTTGTTACATATGGATATGCATGCTATAAGAAACATTCATTTGTAGATCGTATTGTGTCATCAATATCATAATTTCAAGTAATCAGCTTACTACATGGAGGAAAAATACAGAAAAGGGAAAGTAGAAAAGTAGAAGACATAATACTTGAGCATCTTGCAGGAATACTAAGTTTCTGAAAAAAATTGCTAAACCATCTTACAAATTCAATCGTTAAACGTTACACTGCGACCCAAAATAAAGATAATGCATATAGTTAGTTTACAAATCAAAACGAAGTGCTATCAAAAGAAAATGTTTAAGATGTTGAAAATACAAAACTGGATTAGGCAACCATATCTTTTATCGGTAACTAAACGAATAATTTAGAATGATACAAACCTGATTCTAGCTCATCTGACTCCTCTCTCATCCTCAGCTCTGTATTTCAAAGGCTGAGTAGCCAACTTTGGTGAAATAGTCAAGTAATCACCATCCGTAGATTGAGAATAACCTACAAAAATTCTATAAAAAAGGGGACAAATTAACATATTTAAAGTATTAAGATGCAAACATTCTTAAGATAAATTAAGCAAAAAAATGAAACTAATCCAATGAAAATACAAAAGGAAAAGGAATTAAAGAAAAGTTAGAGTACTTTAAACATTTCAAATTAGTGATTAATCAACCAATTAGTTAGTCTCAATGATCTAACATACCAGGGACATCATATAAAAATTCAAGTAAACCCCGTACACTCTACCACCACTGTTTCTGATTCCCGTCTCCCATTGACTAAAAACATTCCCAAATCACATCAGCCAGCCATACAAAGCCACTGGCCACATCAAATATTCGGCATGATTCAGGTAATCAAATTCTAATAATAGAGTTCAGATAATGAAGGGGTGTGATATCCACACACCATTTTTTACTTCTCACACATCCCTCTAATTTTCGGCCGTCGGATCAGATGAATTGAAGAAGATCAACGAACAGAAATTAACAAAGGGTGCGTGAGAAGTAAAATGGGGTGTGTGGATAGCACATCCCATAATGAAATGCAAAGAACACGGTACATATAGTAAAATTCAAGAACATGATTAAGAGGATTTGAACTATATTGTGTTGAAAACTTACCGAAGAGCGATGGTTCCAGGGCAACAGCGGTCAGGCTAACATGGATTTAATATGAAAAGACTTTCCTTCTCAGTCAAGTGTACCTAATTAGGTAGAGTGAACAAAAATTTATACAAAACTGAAAAATTAGCAATTTGCAAAATATTTTGTCATGGCATACAGTTTTCAAAAAAGAAATCTTCAGCAAAAAATATGACAGAGGCAATAGTAAATTTGTTAGTCATAATATATCTCAACAGTTAACTCCTAAAAGTAATAAGAAAAGAAAAAGCACTAAACTGACATGGCAGAAAAGTTAAATTGATCTTTTAGCTTACATCCAGAACATTTGCTTGAGTTAGTTCTCATATTTTCCCCTTTTAATCTAACAACATATATGAAATCGAAGAGAGAGGATGAGAAATTTTTACCTCTGGGTGTGTCGACTTCAAGATCGGAGGTTTGGCCTTTGGATCCGCTCGTGTGTAGCCTGAATCTCGCGAGATTTTGGCTCACTTTTCTGAGACGGTGGTGCAGGCGACGGTCTTGGGGCTCTCCTCTCGACGAATCCGGAGGCGGAGCATGGAGCTATAAGGGTTCGCGGCTGGTGAGATTGAGAATGGCGAGAGAGGGAATCGGCCGGGAATTTGAGGGAAATTACAGAGTGAGAAAAGGGAGGGATGGGGAGATTTGATGGATGGTTACAGAGAGAGTCGGGTGAGAAAAAGAGGGAATGAAAAGGGGATGGAAATAGACGGAAAATTAGTCGAAGCAGAGCAATCCACGATGATTGACGCGAGGGCGCCCTTCCACTGTGCAAAGCGGTGGCTAAAGTATTTATTTGTACAATGCAATTTCTTCTTTTTGGTTTTTTTTTTTTGTTTTTTGTTTTTGGTAAGTGGGATCCAAAAGGAACGTCAACAAGGCGCTTCTATTAAAAAAACACAATTTTACAAACCAAACAAAGACTCAATTATTTCTAAAAACAAAGAAAACACAGAAAATGAGCCCAACAACAGTGAAGCCCAAACAAAAACAAATTTCTCAAAACCATCCACCGTAGACTAAAGTAATTTTTATCAGCAGCATAGAAAGATTTTGTTAAAACCTCTTTTTTTTTTTTTTTTTTTTTTTAACTTATACACCTTTCTGGTAATTCATAATTTCATTGAATATTAAATCTATATTATACCCCTTGGATGTGTCTTTTAGATGCAAATACTGATATAATGCACTCAAAGTTGGCAAATCAAATTTTCAAACCTTACTCGTGAAATTCATAAGGATAAACACTACATTGTTGACTAAATTTTTTCTATATTCATTATGTCTAGATTCTTAACTGGAAACTTGTTGACTGGACCCCTGCCTGCTTGGCCGAAAGTCAACGTGTAAGCTTCTCTTCCAAATGCTACTCTTTTTACTTAGTATGGAATTTTATGCTGACCGGACCCATGCCTGCTTGGGGGATGGGCAATGTGTAAGCTTCGCTTTCAAATGCTTCTCTCTGATTACTTAGTAAGGTATTTACGACGTCTACAGTTAGAAATTTATGCTATCTATTACTAGAATTGATATAAAACTATGATATAAAAAAAGGGCGGTCAATCCATCTTTTTTCCTACTCTTTTATTACTTAGTAAGCTATTTCTATTCGCATATAAAATCTGTAAATTAGTTTACATCGTAGCCGTTTTTGCGCAGTGATCTTTCATTCAACAACTTCACCATAGGGAACACAAGTTGTCTACTAAATGGCGGCTTGTAAGAATTTCTCCATTAGCTTGAGTTTTGTTCGTTTATGTCCGGTGGAGCAAGCTTAACTTTTCAACTTGTGATTCTACAGGAACTTGTTTGACAGCTCTTCAAAGGGAAATAGTTCGTAAGTTTCAAATTAATCCTCGAAAAAGCATTCATCTATAAATTTAATCGGCATTCCAACTGTGTATTTCTTAATTTTTTGTTTTGTAACTTATTTACATTTATGATGTTATCTTGCTGACCTTTTTTTATGGACCCTGCATTATTCTATGAGCAGAGGAGTTTCATGTTCCACAGCTGCAAAATGTCCAAAAAGTAAGTTGGGATCCTACATGTTGCTGTAAGATATATTTGTTCTGATTTTCTTTTGTTTGGGGGAGTGGGAGATCACTTTTAAGGCCATAATCTGTTATTTTTATCTTATGACCCACAACCACAAGCAGCTTTGCATTCATTCATCGTTCTTCCGAACATTCCCATGGAAAAGGAAACTAAATGTTGCCGTTCTTTTGTGTTCAGAAGTTGCTTCAGTGGCTGCTAATCTGTTTTTCCTTCTTTTTTTTTTTTTTTTTTTTTTTTTGTGTAGCTTGGTACTCCTCCTTTCATATTAATTGTGGTGGTAAAGAAGTAACCATTGAAAATACAACATATGAGGATGACACATTTTCAGTTGGACCTTCATCATTTTACCAGAGCAGAACAAATTGGGCATTAAGCAGCACCGGTTACTTCCCTGATGATAACCGCGCTACGGACAACTTTATATGGACTAATGAAACTAGACTCTATATGGCCAATCCTCAACTGTACATGAACGCACGGCTTTCTCCCATCTCTCTAACTTACTTTGGGTTTTGTCTGCAAAACAGAAAATACACCGTAAGCCTCCATTTTGCAGAGCTAATGTTTAGAAGTGGAAACACATATAAAAGCCTGGGAAGGCGGGTATTTGATATTTACATTCAGGTAGAAAGCTACACTATCATTGTATTTTGATTGTTTAATTTTGGTCAGTTCAAATTTTTACTTTGACAATTATGAAATGTTAGGTAACTAAATTAGTAACGTTGCAGGATATACAAGTACTGCCGGATTTCAATATTATGGATTACGCTAGTGTGTTTGGTAATGTAGTTAGCTTTACCGCTGATGTAACTAACCATACCTTGAAGATCCGTCTCTATTGGGCTGGCAAAGGGACGACAGGCATCCCTGTTAGAGGAGTCTATGGACCTCTTATATCAGCTATTTCGGTGGAACCTGCAGGTAAGCTTACACCACTCTGAGCTTCTTACTGCTATTTGTCCACCGCTGGGAGTTTTCAGTGCATCAAATATCACTTTAGGCATTAATATTTCAACACAATTTAAGAGATCCGAATCTAGTTAGTTATCATTTGATACTACGGTCTAGTGATATTCCTCTTAACATGTAAGTGTTAGAATCTCAGAGACTATGATCTCTGTGGTAAGGAATGAATCGAAGATGGTGAAGAAGATTTCTGTAAAAATCTCAGAGAGCTGCAAGGAGAAGAGTTTCGCGGAAAAGTGCTTTCATTCATTCACACCTCACACAACACGTGCAAGAGGTATATTACCGTTGGAGAAAGAGAGATTCTCTCTCTAAGATACAAAACTCAAATCCAGCCATTCATGCAATCTACCATATAAGATAGTTACACGTGTCTACACAAGTCACTAACTCTAAGATTACATCTTAGCTGTCCAAATTGGAATGTAATCCAATGGCTCACATTTAAGCATGTACACTAAAACTAAATACAAGTTCATTCAGTTAAACACTTATATTTCAACACTCCCTTCCAAGTGTTTAGCTGAGATTACTCCAAGTTTTCTTCTCAGGTATTCAAACCGATCCTTGGCCAATGCCTTGGTAAAAATGTCTGCAGTTTGCTCTTCAGTTTTGCAATACAGTAAATTGATCTCTCCATCTTGCAAAGCATCTCGGATGAAATGAAATCTCCTGTTTATATGCCTTGTCTTATGATGATGCACATGATTCTTGGTTATGGCTATAGCTGAGGTATTGTCACATAAAATTGGTGTAGCATCAGCCTGTTCTTCACCAAAATTTGAGAGAACAAATCTTAGCCACATTGCTTGTGTAGTGGCTTCTGCTGCACTAACATATTTAGCCTCTGCAGTGGATAGTGCAACACTGCTTTGCTTGACTGATGCCCAAGAAAATACACTTGATCCAAGGTTAAATGCATATCCAGATGTGCTTTTCATGTCATCCTCACTCCCTGACCAATCACTATTACAATAGCCAATGAGCATTGCTTGTTTCCCTTTCTCATATGCTATACCATAATCAAGTGTGCCTTGAATGTACCTAAGCACTCTCTTGGCAGTTCCCATATGTTTTCTGGTAGGATGCATAAATCTAGCTAACAAACTTGCTGCAAACATGATGTTTGGCCTTGTAGCGGTTAAATATAGCAAACTTCCAACTATCTGCCTATATAAGCTTTCATCAGCTTGATCACTTCCATCTGACTTAGATAGCTTTTCATTCACTGCAAGAGGAGTAGCAACTGATTTGCAATCTTTGAGACCGAATTTATCCAATAGTAGCTTTGCATATTTCTTCTGGTGCAAGAAAATGCAAGTGTCAGTTTGTTTCACACCTAAACCCAAGAAGTGGTGCAGCATAGAGAGATCAGTCATTTCATACTGTTTCATCATCTCAGTTTTAAACTTCATCATTAACTCTTAGGAACTTCCAGTGTATATGATATCATTCACATACAAAAAAACAATGAGTATTCCACTTTTGCAATCTTTACATATAGTGTTGTTTCACTAGGACTCCTTTGAAAACCGGCTTTAGTGAAGTAAGAGTTGATATGTTCATACCAAGCTCTTAGAGCTTGTTTAAGACCATATAATGCCTTCTTGAGTCTATAAACTCCATCTTCCTTGTTCTTGATCACAAATCCAGGAGGTTGATCAACATACACTTCTTCATGCAATACTCCATTAAAAAAAATGTTGATTTCACATCCAATTGGAACAATTTCCACCCTTTCTGTGCAGCTAATGCAACCAATGTTCTGATTGTATCAAGCCTAGCAACTGGTGAAAAAAGTCTCATTGAAATCTATTCCAGGCTTTTGAGAGTATCCTTTTGCAACCAATCTAGCTTTGTTTTTCGAAACCAAGCCATCAAGGTTTAACTTGGTTTTGTAAACCCATTTAACACCAATTACTGGTTTATCAGATGGTCTACTAACCAACTCTCAAGTATTGTTCTTTTCTATCATTGCAATTTCACTCTCCATTACTTTCTGCCATGCTTCATCCTTAGCAGCTTCTTCAAAGGTTTCAGGTTCAATAATGCACAGATTGCATCTTTCATACACTTCTGCAATGCTTTTATATTTCAATGGAGTATGATCGAAATCATGTGGACCTGAACTTTCACTTTGTCCTGTAGTACCATTTCTGACTTATGTTTCATCAATGCTTCTTGGTGCCTCACCATCCATTTCTGACATCTCAGCTCGAGTTAAGCTTGATTCATCAGTCTTCTTTTCTTTCTCAGTAGACATCTCAGTGACTGGAACTGAAATGCTACACTCCTTCTGTGCACTCCAATCCTAACTTGCTTCCTCATTGAATACTACATCTCTGGATATAATCACCTTTCCAGATTCAATGTTATACAACTTGTAACCTTTCTCACAACTTTCATACCCCAGAAACACACACCTTGTGCTAGACAAGTCAAGCTTCTGTCTCTATTGTTCTGGAACATGTGCATAGCACAGAGA